GTGAATATTGGAACTGCAGATTTGCAGATGTCCTTTCTTTCAAGAGACCAGCAAAATTATTAGGCATAATTGGCATAATTAACAAGTTTCCTCACCAGCTTCCTTCTCACTTTGTCAGAACTTCAGGGGGCCCGCCTGGGCCTAGTTGGCGCCTTTGGAAGGTGTTGCTGGAACGGCTGAACACAGCAAGGAAGCGAGCTCGAGAGGTGGGATATGGCGGGATAATGATCTCATCATTTGGGATCTTGGGTCAATGCTCCACAAGGATGTGCCACACATTTAGACCATTTTCTTTGGACGAAAATGTATTTTTACCTGCTGAAAAGTTTGTGAACGAACTCGGGTGGTTCAAGTCGATTAAGTCGATTACCCTCTGGTAAACTAACATAACTATGGAAAATCACCATTGTTAATGGGTAAATCCACTATTTCTATGGCCATTTTCAATAGCTATGTTAGTTTACCAGAGGGTAAGTTGGTCCATTCGAACAGTGACCGGTTCACTCGGCGTTGATCACTCCTGAACGCCCCATGGTCTCTATGGGCTGTTTTTTCTATCCTTGACCGAACTCAGAACCGGCATGTTACAGGATGTTTTTTCTGAAGTACTTGCTCACCAATAGCATTTCAGACTGCTATAAATCACTGCTTCAGAATTCAGTGTCCATTTTTGCGCAGGTTTCACCAATGTGTTTGTTTGTTGTTGTTTAGTTTCTTGATTGGTCTATTTACCTTGACCTTGACGGTGCACAAACCTCAGGCAGAAGCACCCAAGGCTCGCAGCAACGTCAGTGATGCGGTTCCATGAACTCTACCAACATCTGTGCAGAAAAGATTTTGCAACCATGAAAACAGTATGGCCAGATCAATGCAGCACCACGTATAGTACTATATTAAACGATATTAATTTATATTATATATTATATATATAATTGTACATATATATATATAATATACGATACATATTCTATATAGTGCTATTGATCGTTGAGGGCACTCATGTTTAATGTCCTTAAGGTGGACTTTTTGGCCGGGATGATTTGGGCGTGAAGTGGCCTGATCTCCGAGATATTCCCGTTTCGGAATGGATTCAACCATGGATTTCCCATGGTGATTACCTCTGGTAAACATACAAACAACTATGGAAAGATCCACCTATTTCGACTGGGCCATGTTCAATAGCTTTTTGTATGTTTACCACTATAAATGGCCATTTTCAATAGCAAACTGTTAGTTTACCAGAGATGTAAAGATATTACAGGGCCATCCCCCTGGAAAGGTCCCTCAAAAACCAGCCCTAACCAGCCGACCATCGGCAGGTCTCGGCAGATGATAGCCCAGAGTTCGGTTACTGGGAGTCCAGCTGCCAACTCTTGGGGTCTGTGGGAACATCACCGACATTCGCCGACATAAACGGGGCTGGAACATCCTAGAGGTTCATATAGGTTAATATAGGTTAATGATGGTTAATAATGCTTAATATAGGTTAATATACGTTAATATAGGTTAATGATGGTTAATGTTGATCATAAGCCTGGAAAATCATCTACAAATGCTGGATTTTCCAGCACACGTTTGATTATTGGAGGGTACCCATGGTTGCCAAGACCATCTTTAATAAAGTAACTATGGTTGGATGTTGTAGGTCAAAGTTGCTTCCATGTCCCGCAAGAAAATCACACAATATCAATACTTGAGCAGTGTAGTAAAGTTGACAATAAACAATCCGCAATGTTATCATAAACGGGTAAAAAAAAACGATGATGCCCAAATGGTATAGTTGTTTATGGCATTTTGTGAATCCGACATGTACTGAAAAAAGAAGTGGTGCATATGCCAATTTTGAATCTGGCTCTGGGAAAACCATAAACCATGTAAATGTAGCAATCCAAAAAAAGACGGACGAGTAATATATGATTATGGGTGAGGTTTTACTTTTCTATGTTCATGCTTTTGCTGGTTTCACTGCAGATTGTTGTATCTCAGCATGTAGGCTAAGTCATGTCAAATCTTAAGTCTGAAACTAGAATACCCCAAAATCCGATGGTTAATCATCAGTTCATGCATATGTTTCCTATTAATCATATACCATGCATGTTGATCCATTTTCAGGGTGCCCATGTTCAGACACACCGCAAAACACGCCAGGTTCATCCAACTGGCCAGAGAGCTTAACACACTTCATGAGAAGGCGTGACTTTGCGCAGACCGGGTATCAACGTATGGGGTTTTAACATTTTAACGGTTTTTACCATGAAAAACCATGGGCTTGAACCATAAAAGACATTATTTAACCACATTTAACCAACGAGTAATGGATTCTGGTTCACAACACTTAGGTTAACTTGCAAAATTGGTCTATGACTAAGCAAATTCTGAGATTATATAATTAGATATATCGAGCTAGTTAGTAGGATGTAGGGGTGATAAAACAACCTGTGACTATAGGGGGTTGCGGAGTATCAATTCCGGGTCAGAAACTATCGAGTCGAATCAGGGTCCAGCGGTCGGGATGGTTGGGACGGCCGGGGTAGTCCGCAAGGTCGCGATCTATACGATCTATACTTGGTGGCTCATCCCACTTAGTACGTGGGTTATAACCCCAGTTATAAGTGTATTAACCTTACTTATCCCATTTATAACTGGGGTTATAACCCACTTACTAAGTGGTTTGAGCCACCAAGTACCGTCCTGTAGATTCCGATCCAGCCGCGCCGATCCAGCCAATCTAGAGTCTGATCCAACGACCCCTTGGTAAACCAACACTCGCAGTGGGTTGCCACCTCGTAATCAACCACTTACCGACACCCCCCCCGTCGTTGAGATGAGTTTTTGATATTGGTGTCGTATGGCGTCGTGCTGTAAAGTGCAAATGTCAAACATGATCGTGACCATCCCCAGGCCAAAGAACAAGCCATGAATCAACTCATGGAGGCTCCGGCCACACCTGCGGCCATGTTTTCTGTTTTCGTGGCAGTTTTTAGACCGGCAAAAAGGCAGACCTTGAGAATTCTGGCCATTCTGAGACTTCTATAGAATTCTCAGAAGTGTTTGATGTGTTTGTGCGTTTTGCATCGTTTTGCTATAAAACATGTTGAGCTTTGGTTGGGTAAAAAAAACATCAATAGCTTGTAAGACTCGTTTTCAATGGCTCGTCAGCTCGTCCTGGCAGCCAGGAAGTTCAGTTCAATCAGAAGGAAGTGAATCAATTCCATGAAGTTCTGACCTCAGCAGACATTTGGGCGGATTTTGGGCCTGGACTTTGAGGATGTTGGAGAGACAAGCCCCTGCTGGAGTTAGTGGAACACTGCGCTCGAATGTCCTCGATTGGTCTCAACATTATACAGAAACATTAGCGTATTTTCAGGGCAAAATGGACAGATTATGACAGATTGCAGTTTCTTTAAATTGGAAGCACCAGCCAACTGAGTCAACTCCCCTGCTTTTGGAATCAGGCTCTCAACCCTGTTTCCAGTTGTGGCACCGCTGATGAATGCACAATGGAATCATGATGGATCCATGCTCCCATCATATGGCAACTATGTGGCTCTGTTCGTGAGGACTGTTCGAGGCACAAATTCAAGAATTGCAACAACTGCGCACTGTCAGCACTTGCCGTTGCAGTGGAAGTAGAGTAGCAATAGAGTAGCAACCTTGCCATGAAACCGCTTTCACTTTATGGAATGTCCATGACTTTCCAAAAACAAAAGAAGAGAGAGAGAGAGAGATATATATATATATCATAAATATTTTATATATGCCGTTGCATTCAATTGTGCTGATTGCTGACACCATCAGAATGACAAGGTGGCTGTTCCAGGCAAAACGAAGGAAGGGATGGCCGCGATGGCCATGGCGCGACGATTTCTCCTGCAGAGCAGCTGCAGATTTGCGCTGCCGGTTGCATCTCAGAGGAGTTTATTGTGCGATTGTCACCCTCATCCATTGCGTACCCTGAGTAATTCAATGGTTTTAAGATGTTCTACTGGTTGGTGGTTTGGAACTTATTTTTCCATCTATTGGGAATAGTAACCCCAATTGACTAATATTTTTCAGAGGGGTTGAAACCACCAACCAGTTTAAGTTATGTTATAAAGGTTCCTCTGCGATTTGGATGGGTGGTTTGGATTATGTTTGAATCCCAGGACTCTTTTCGATTATTTTCACCATGGGGCACCCCTAGGGCCCTAGGGACTGTAGATCACTAGTTCATGTGGCGTCTTATGCCTGGGCTGGCTTCGTAAATTTGGGGACATCCAGCTGCAATCCCAGCATGTCCTTTGGGTCTATGCCCACGAAAGACACTGATCGTCATGAGTTTTCACTGAGACTGGATACGCAAATCTGTGATGCAAATTGCTGTATAAGCAGACAGTTGCAATTTATCCCGGTAAGTTTCACAGGATGAATATGGTATCATATATATTATAGATCATGATATATAGTATATTACAGTGCATGGATATTGTGTTTTAAATAGTATAGATCATGGTTAGTGAATCACTGCAATGACGTGACGGTCTTCTTCCGGTCATCCCATAACACGAACGGCCTTGAGGTGCGTCCAGCGGCAGGCGAACCGGGGTAGCTGTGAAGCATGGTTTGGACCTTAGGAGTAGGGGAAATGATCCCTTAAAATTATTTAAAAATCAGCGTAATAAATCAAATCACCCAGCTGTTGGTTAAACAAACTATAAAACTTACCCAGATATGATATGTCTAATTATATATAGATTCCGTTGGGGTATTTTAGATTTTAGGGAAGGCATTGCATACACAACATTTGGTTTATGATTAGGCTTGTGTGATGGCTAACACACAAAAACATGTATGCAGCATGTCTTCGATTGTCATGTTGAACAGCTGCATTGGCACAAGGCAAGGCACTAGGAATATATAAACAGATACATAGACCAAGATATCGACAATTGCAATCTCTACGTTGCATATTTCAAACTCTTCGGATGTTTGTCAATGTTTTGTTCACCCAGTCCCATCCCATGCCCCCCAGTGGCCGTGTGCTGTCAGGTGTGCTTCATATGCCCAGAGCTGTGGCCTTTTCCAGTCAGCGGGCCTTTTACAACAGCGATGATGCGCGAAGGAAGATGCAACGCTTTCAGGACAGATTCTCAGAGGCTGTTTGCCAAGGTCCCCCCCCCCCCGAGTTGTAAGTTGCTTTAGTTTTTTGGAGTTATGAGCCCCCACTTTGTTGTAGCATTCCATTTTTTGAAACGAATACGTCATCGGTCTGCTCAAAACTATTGACTCTTCAGAATTGGATGGGATTGATCAGCAGCTTTAACCCCAAGTATGTTTAATGAGGTTGACTGTGCTTGATCAATAGCTCCCCCACCCAGGCAGACCTAGCTAAGATGGTAAGTAGAATTAGGTGTGCCGCCCGAGGTTTATCATGTGACCAACTCCTTGGGGTTTATTTAGGGTTTGTTCCTGGCCGTAGAATTACTATGGCAGATTTACGGGAATATATCTATAGTTAACATATATCTATAGTTAACATATATATATATATTATATATATATATATACATTTGAACGATCCGAGCCTCGCAGCGTCCATGTCAGGATGACTTTGCTGAAGCTCGCTTATGCCACTCAGAGGTCTTTATGGTGGAGAATGGTGGAGTTTCCGGGGGCCGCTTATGACATGTTTAATGATGGATCACTTGTAACTCTTTGTGAGCCTCTGGTAGTTTGTTTCACAGCTACGGATTATGATGATTATGGTAATTATAGGTTTTGCCCATTGAGTTTGTGAAATTTGTGACTTACCGCATTAAACTGGTGATTATCCACAATTAGCTATGTTGAATTACCGGAGCGTTTCCAGTTGGTGGTTTATGATGTCTCTTGCTTTCCAAGCACTTGTTTGGATGGTGATTTTCCTCAAGTTTTCTGATTCCAGACAGATGTTGGCCGTGATTGTGTGTGTGGATATGTTTGAACATGGGCTAGCGCAAGATTTGATATGGTTGGTGGTTTGGAACATTTTTTATTTTCCATAATATTTCCATAATATATATGGGATAATCCTTCCCATTGACTAATATGTTTTAAGCTGGTTAAAACCACCAACCAGTGATGGTTTATCAACCTTTTCGCATTAGATCAGCATTTGAAGGGATTCGATTATTCATATTCAGACACACCAACATTATTTCAAGTTATGTGCATACATATATAATTATATACAGATTATATATAGGTATATCCCCACTGTATCCCCACAAAATATCATCATTTTCTCCAATGAAATCCTCTGCTTTCTTCGTCCAGAACCTTTTTTGTTCGAGGTCTAGACGATGCCCGGGAGACCTTCAGCTGCAACGCTTGTGGCTGTGGCATTTTATGGGATTCGATGATTAAGATTACAGTGTTTGGTTGGGCTTTGGAACCATGGAATTTTATGACTTTCCAATACTTTCCTATTTTTTATATATATTGGGAATGTCATCATCCCAACTGACGAAGTCCATCATTTTTCAGAGGAGGTATACCACCAACCAGGTGTGCAATGTGGGAAACACAATAACAAACCATCCATGACTGGGAATGGTTTATACCACCTATAAAAATGGTGACATTTGGGATGGTTTATGACTTTGTTTTGCCCACATTATACTCCATCTTCGGACAAAACCACATCCGGAGGATTTGTGGAAAAACTACAGAAAACATAAGAATGCTGCCATTAGTTCTGTAAGTTTTCCAGAAAGCCAACCCTGAGACCCTAAAACGTGCAATCAAATGCTGATTTGTTGAATTTGTTTTTTTAATCCAATCACAAATTCATGTATACATGAATTTGTGATTGGATGTATTCCGTTTGAGTCAGTAGAGGACCGTTTTTTTTCACGCACGTGACCAATGTGATCAGGTCCCAAGGAACCACATACTTCAAGGAGGGTTGGTGCGGGTGTTCAGCAACTTTTGATTTTTCTGATCTTTCAAGATCCTTCAAGTCGTCATTAAGATGGCGGATGTTCATTGCAAGTGGCTATCAAATCTGATTGGTGGTTTGGAACCATGGAATTTTATTTGTCCATATATTGGGAATAATCATTCCAACTGACTTTCATATTTTTCAGAGGGGTTGATGAAGCCACCAACCAGAAATGGATCTAGTAGCAAATAAAGCAAGCACACAACATATCACGACATGTTTTGACTCAAAAGTTTTGACAATGGTGTTCCCTATCACGGGGACTATCTAATTAGAAATTCTTGGGCCCCCAATTGAAACTACAGCGCCCACATTTCGGCATAAGGACTTTTGTATCCACCATGTTTACCCACATTGCATTGTTTGATATGTTGGGAATGGTGCCAGAGACCCTCCGATAATCAAGCATGGCTGGAAATGTTCCAACCAAATGAAGGCTTCAAAGGGGAAATCATGGGGGATTGTTTGTTGCCATGGTATTAAGTACCATCTGGTTATGACTAACATAGCCATGGAAAATCACCATTTTTAATAGGTAAACCATCTATTTCTATGGGCCATCGATACCATGGCTACGTTAAATGACCAGAGGGTAAAACTTTACGGCGGACAAGATCTGTTCTGGGCAGGTTTTCGTCCGGATTTTCGCTACATCTTTTAATGCGAATAGTGGTTTTTGAGTCATTTGAACCTTGAACGGTGCAGGCCCAAACAGCCACAAACTCAGAAAGTTATGGTGTTGTTTCATTATATATTTCTTTGTCGGCTTTTCATGCGCCTCACCATTCACAATGAAAACCATGTCCGTCAAAACCAGATCAATCCCTTAGCTCAGTGTAATGATCCTGGGGTTTGGGAACCTGATACAACCAGCAAACCATGAGATTTTGGGAACCGAGGTTTTGCCAGATGTCCTGGCTTATAATTTAGATTCTTTGTTGTCAATCAGCCGCTTGCTGGACCCGAAGTTCAACGCTACTATATATAGATACATATATATATACATATATTATAGTACATTGTACATATATAATCATATATATATATGTATAATTATATTTATATATGCATACAGTTAAGAAGAACGGGAAGAAGAAGAATACAAAGAGCCCCTTCTGGTGATGCAGGATAGCCAAACAGCACATTTCTGGATACAAGACACAATAGTAATGAATAATCATAACAAGTCATTTGGTAACCCATAGGATCCATGTATGGTATATATGCTAACATTTGGGGTATATTATGGATGGTTAATGTTACCATATATATAGCATGCATGGATCCTATGGGTAATGAAGAATCATAACAAGTCATCTAGCCGAAGAAAAGTCAAACTGGATATAATTGTAATTCACCATCCGCGATGTTCAGCTGAACAAATCTTCTGAGCCATAACTGGGGATATGCTATAGAAATATAGTATTATAGTTGTATCATGTTGTATCCATTACATATGTACATCTCCAATAAATATCCACTATATAAATGAATGAAATCCATTGATTAGATTTGAGGCTCACAGACTGATTTGGTGACGCCGTGACGGCACGGCATTTCACGGCATGACGCGCAGGACGACATCGAGGAAGCCCACGAAGCAGTGGAGAAAGTCGCGGAGGTCTATGAGGCCCGAGAGTCGTGTCAAACGGCGAGGGTTGAAACATGGAAGTTTGATGTCGTGACTCGAGAAGAAACACATTCGACAAAAATACCATGAAACGCTTAGTTTACATTATGTTTACAAACGAGAAAATGTAGGTTAAGTTTAGATCCCATCAAAAAAATGTTTGATCGACATCCGACATATACATCATGTTTGCAACATTTTATACAACGGGATCAAATGTAGAAAACATGTTATGCTCACCATGTCAGTTGCCTTGGCTGGTTGGCTGATTCACCCGTGGTGAAATCGAGAAAAAATCCATCACGCGACTCATGGAGCAAAATCATTGCCATGAGTCCAAGATATAGTGCTCATTATGTCCAGAGTCCAGGGTAGGTTAAGAATTGTATTTTGCTATGCTCTCAGATCTTTGTTTCTCATATACTTTGGTCAGATTCCGTTGTCAGTTTCGCCAGCTGACCTGATAAGTCTAAAAGGAGACAGTTCAGGCTGAAGATAAACAGACATTGTGGTTTCTCATGTTTCCCCTATCACCCTCACTTTAGTGGTTCACAGTTTCAAGATATGCTTTATGTTTTGCCTTACAGTGGATTATGATCACGACTCATGGGTGGCTGGTTTGATTGGACCCAGAGAAGTAGCTATTGAAAAAGCTATTGGGCACATGCCGAAAATGTTTGTCGGCTTAATCATGTTAATCCTCAGATCTCTGTCCAATATTCTTACATCCCATTAAATCCCCAAATTCCATCAAAATCCATCAGGCAAAACTTCAAGAGAAAAAAAACATCCGGTGATTTAGTAGCCGAATAAGAATAATCCCATCCCCCCTAATATTAAACACACCCATTGTATGGGTCACAAATATGTGGTTTCATCCCCTACATCCACCATGGTTTCTTGGGGGTGTGAACCGCCGTCAGGATCTCCTGTCAAACCTGCCTGACGAAGGCCGGGACTTGCTATGTCTATGTTTGGGTTGTTGAATATCATCATTATGATCAACTAACTGATCGTGTTTGTTGATATATGTAGATTGTATGATTATATACACAAACAATCGTGATTACATGCGTGTGTATATTTACAGTCTGCTGTTTACATATGATTTGATCCTGGTTGGTGGTTTGGAACCATGGAATTTTATGACTTTCCATATATTGGGAATGTCATCATCCCAACTGAGGGGTTGAAACCACCAACCAGGATCGTATTGATCCTAGTGGTACTCGTATGGACGTCGTTTTCGTTCCAGGACGCCGAGAGTTTGAGGACGCCAACAGCCTGAAGATGAAATCCTTGAAGGAAGAGCCTCCTGGATGCAGCAATGGGAAGGTAGCAATAAACAGGGATGTTGGAACCGATGTTGTTTGTCCATCAGTGGATGTGTGAATGCGGTTCATTAAACTGGGGATGTAACAATATTCATCATCAATTCGCAGATTTGAATGTAACCAATAATGAGTAACACTGTACCAATTCACAAACAATTGAAGGTCCATTTGCGGTCATCAGCTCCAGACCAAGGTTTGCTCAACTTTTGGGCGATGACGACCACTGAAACATGTGGAAATGTGGCTGGGATGGTCGCGCAGTTTCTCATGACGTGGGTTGGAAAATCATTGAACATATCTTCTGGCTGGAGATTTTTCTGTGAACTTCTAAGTTTAGAGATCAAACTTCACACGGACAGTTGGTATTGCTTTGAACCATCCTCCGAATTTCGTCGGGGCGCCGACTTCTTGAGCAGGAAAGTGCTAAAGGCAGCACTTTCAAGACTTTAGATTTGTGAAAAGAATTCCTCAGAGAACTCCAAACTCAAGGAAACAATTAAAAAACCAAAGCCTGTGAAAGTAAAAAACAACCAAAATAAACACATTAGAAAAACATAACAAAAAAAAACAACTGGAAACAGAAACTTCTCTGGGCATTCTAAATCACAACTTTAGATTGGAAGATTTTCGCGGGAGTTGTTGACCACTGGCAGTGACGATACCAGTATATATATATTATATATATTATATATATATATATATTGAGTTGTATTTGGATGAATCTGTCATCTACATTCAATTATTCAAGATTTGACTTGCATTGGATGAATCGGTAATAATATTCATTCATTTTGAAATTTGAAGTAGGCATATACACGTAGTTACCAATTAGTTAATTACTAATTACCCATAGTTTTCCCAGCATCCATTTGCCAGCCTGATCAATCATTGTCCAGCCGGACCAAACCGCCAAACCAAACCAAACTCCTCCGCGACGTACTCCGCTGCGGCGACGGCTGAAAAGAGATGGACGACCCTCCTGGGAGCAAACACGTGGGTGCGTATTCCAATAACAACAGGTGAGTACCCTCTGGTAAACTAACATAACTATATGGAAAATCACCATTTTATATGGGTAAATCAACTATTTCTATGGCAATTTTCAATAGCCATGTTAGTTTACCAGAGGGTAAGTTCATCTAAACAACAAGGTATTTTTTTTAACCAAAGGTTGACCATGGCAATCCGTTGGAAACCATGGTATCCTCAAAGTCATGAGCAAAGCATGTGACACATTGGCCGTTTGCTGGATTGGAAATTGGTTGGTTAGAATAAAATTATTTGCCAAATTGTTTAGTTACTTAGTAGTGTTTGGCATGTAGTTATTCTGGAGTCCTTTTTTTGGCATCAATTCGCAAGACGAATTGTTCTCTTTAGGACATTCCCATTTCTGGATCCCTAAAAAAATCAGATTCCCTGATTTCTGGATCCCGAAAAAATATGAAAAAATCAGGACATGCCTTTTTTGGGCCAAAAAAGCTACCGCAAATCGCCAGGTCTTTCTTCACTGGCTCCATGTGGATGAAGATGAGGCAGTGGGTCATCCCGCTCATCCGGAAGCCACCAATCAGCTGGGGACATGCTGTGGTGGCAATCTCACAGATTCAGTGACTTTGAGAACAAGTGGTCATCCATTGTATGCATATATATATAGTATTATATATAATATTATATAAAATATTCTATATAATACTCTATATATATATGTATGCACCAAAAAGCCTGTTGTTTCATGTTGTTTCAATGAGTTTGTCACATGGATTTGATGACTTTTTCACCGTGGACTACGCCAGGAGACAGCCGAAAAGGCCAAACAACTGGACCACTCTGATGCAGGTGGGGGTTTGCGTTTGAAAGTTTGCTGGAAGTTACTGAAAATCTGAAAAAATGTGGTTTCATTAATAGACTAATAGCATACTAATAGCTAAAGTCAGCTAAAGTATACTGCATAACTGTATGATACATTTGTACACCGAGGTCTTGTTGTTTCGATGACGTTGTTTCGCATCGGGTTGTAGCCAGGTCTCACGAGAGAGCTGGTACGTCGCGTGGTGCGAAACACTGGTCTGCGGGATGCTCGGGCACAGCATTGGGCTTCGGGGAACTGGTTTATGAAAACTACCCTAGCCATGGTATGGATGGCCCATAGAAATAGATGATTTTCCCAGCTAGAAACCTCCATTTATGGTGGGATTTTCCATGGCGAACTGTTAAATAACCAGATGGTATATAATTTGAAATTCGAACGATAAAAATCATCAAACAATGGAAATGTAGCATGCCATCTCGAAAGGTGAAGACGATGCTCTGAATAAAAAAATGATTGGATTTCATAGCATCTTAGCTTTGTTAAATTTCATATACGTGAATATCATATAAAGATACCATATGAGTTTCAAGAATTTGGAAGATCACTTTTGAATAACATTTGATAATTAATTTTGAATATATATCATTTTACCATATGATAAATGTTGAATTAATTTCACTTCAAACAAAAATCCATCAGCCGTCTCCTGGTGTTGCTCACAGTGTGAGGTCCTTGGGGCCTGAACGAAAGGAAATCCTAGACACCCGTTTGGACACGCTCGAGGAGGCCAGGATGGGCTGGAAATCATCTCCAAGAGATGAATGTCCCAAAACGTGTGTGACGAATGGAAGAACAGAATTAACAAAAAACAGTCTATGATTCAGATATTCAACTCAAGTTTTCGAATAATGTGGTTAAAACTATCATAAACCATCCATTTGGGTATGGTTTTCGTAGCAGCTATGCTGATGACTGGGGGATGGTTTATGACATTGCGAAAAAACCCACATTGTCGAAGATGTTGTCCTCACTGAAGCTCATGCCTGACCGTTTAAAGAGGGCTGTGTTCACAGGATGGGAAGTTGAAGTTTCATGGATTCCTTCGGCTCATGCGATGGATCGTCGGGGACCGAAGGATGAGAAGGGCTGGATTGGAATCTGTGTGGAAGAAAGAACATGTGTACCCAATCCAGCAAAATAACACATGTTTTGTGTTGATAGTGAATATCATTGCATATCTATACATAATATGTATGTATACAGTATGTATATAGATACGTTGAAATAATTGATGTTTGTATGTTTCATGCATATATATATATATGTATGCATATGTGTGTGTGTGCGTGTATGTGCATCCTCCATCATCATCATCATCATCATCATCATCATCATCAGCATCATCATCATCATCATCATCATCATCATCACCAGCATCATCATCATCATCATCATCATAATCATCATCATCATCACCATCACCATCACCATCACCATCATCATCACCATCATATAATGTGTGCCCAGGGAGCTGCGTTGCCGACAACCGACAACTGGTGGAAGGAAATGGTTGACTCATAAATCTGGCTAAATTATAGGCGTAAGTAACTATCCCAAAATGGTCTGATTTCAGGTTAGTGAGTTATTATCATATACCTAGATGGGTGATTTTCTGATTTTCCAGGTGAAAGTGAAGGCTAGATCCATTAAGTCATGCGGCCTTGTGCCCAACTCCCCATGGGGCTGTGGTATTGAAGTATTTCTTGGAGATGTAGATGTCAAAAAGAGGATGAAGCTCTGAAGTTTGCATCATTTTAAGATGATGTTCACATCATTTGGTGCTGCGCTGTGAAAACTTGGGACATGCACCAACCAACCCGGTAGGCTGGTAATTTTGTGTGTATAACTGTCGTTCACTCGTCCACCTTCGCAGTTGGAGTCGGACTTTGGAGAGATCAATTCCCACATGCAACAGCAGCAGAAAGGCGAGAAGCACTAGGCACCGTGGGCACCTGGGGCAGTCATGTGCTAAACTTTGAATATGAAATATAATGAGTAAAGCTCCAAGTTGGCAATTGATGGCATTTGTTTAGATGTACAATTTTATGGTAAAGATAAGGGGCTTAGATAATTAGTTGAGTAGTTGGCTACTGGGGTTATCACATGTGTTCCCCATGGTGGCAGTTGTGGGGATGTCTCCTTCCAAAGTTGCCCAAAGAATGCAATCAGTGGGGATGGCCAGATGGGTCAATATGAAAGGATACATCACTATATACCCTCTGGTAAACAAACATAGCTAATTATTGAAAATGGCCCATTTATAGTGAATTTAGCCATGAACAATGGTGATTTTCCATAGTTATGTTAGTTTACCAGAGGGTAACCATGATATTATTATTATTAGCCATTATATGGGTTATATTACCACTATACCACCAGCTATAACCATTCATAGTGGAACAAATTTAACCACTGTTGTTATTAGCCATTAAAATGATGTACAGTCGATGAACGTCCCAAAACGTTGCACTGAAGGGTCCATTTTTTCGGGGACATGCAAATGATGTTTGTCGAGTCGGGAGGCTACTGAAAAATTCATGATCCAGAAAATCTAAGTTTGGATTCTTCCAGGATTCTTCCCAGGCCTCTCTGAATTTTGATCCAATGGAAAGTCCCATGTTTTGGGAAGTTGTTTCATTGCTGTAGACTAACAGAAGCTGTGTGTACCACCTTAGATCCCATGTTTACGCTTAAATCTCCATGTTGCTGGGTGAAATCCCCATTGAGCCAGCCGTTGACTTTGATGACTTTGTGAGGATCCACGCGCAGCGGCAGATGAAGGATCTCCAGCAGTCCATTTGGATAGCCACAATGAGGCTTACAATCAATGCCAATGATGCTGTGGATGGGCCAGCGAAATCCTGCACCAGCAATTTTGGATGGTTGAAACCCTAGAAATAATGGGATTTTGCCCACCTATCAACTGGGATAAGTTTGCCATATTTAAACAATAAAAAAACGGGTAAAAAATATATAACCAATAAGACAGGGAGTTTAACACATTCAATCACCAAGAAAAGGGATGTTTCAGTCTGGAGTCTATAAGCTGAGAGAGAAAACGAGAGAGAGAGAGAGGGAGATACAGATGCATTAATTATATATAGTAAACCTATTTACATCATAATAATATTATATACATACAGATGTATAATATAATATATATATATACATACAGATGCACAAGAGATGTAAATGTCAGATTGATGTATGCATATGTTTTTATACATCTAAGTGCACGCAAACCCTATTTTCTATAGTGTGTTTACCATTTCTTTGGGATCATTGGTTCCCTTTTTTCAGATACGATGTGTCCTGGCAGTTCTGAATGGATAATGACGGCACGGGTCGCGGAATCGTGTCACCTAAAAGCTCGTCTCTTGTCGCCCCATCGGCAGCTGTAAATGGGCGGAAAGTGCCGCAACTTGCAGTGGGTCGTCTTATTCGGTGGATTTGACCTGTTCTTTCTTGCCTCAAAGATGTGAAATCAATCATATCTAGAAATTGGATATGTAAATTGTATGATTGATTGTTGGTTTCAAGATGTTTCAAGTATGTCTTTGTTTGTTTCCCATGCGAGACGATGATCCAACCGCTCCTGGGAATCCAGTTTTTTCCAGTTCAGAAAGTGCTACTCCGTCGCCCTGCCCAAGGCAAAATAGGATCCAATGAGAAGGAAAAATCAGAAGCCTTGCAACAGCTGTTTCCAAGATGACATGGATGACCTGGGGTCAAACTCAAAAATCCATACGTTTCTTTGATTTTGAGAAGGGAAACATATACACACACCAAAAACATGTCAATGATATTCAATTCACGCCCATAAAAATCCAGAAAATGGATCTCGTGTCCAGTGTCCAGTGGTTCGACCTTATCCAGTCAGATTACTTCCCACCGCACTTTCGACTTTCGGGAACCTGACTGTAAAGCCAACCGCCGTGACCTCAGAGTCGCCCCAAAGATGGGAGGCATAGGCAACCAATGACATGGTTGGGGTCGTTTTAGATTTGTTTGTTCCACACCTGGCAAGATAGGTCTCTTGATTTCTATTGATCTGGGGTCCAAAAGCTTCAAAGTTTATGATTTTTCTGGTTTGGCAGCAGTATTTCAGCAGCAAACACACTGTATTTATATTAAAAAAACTCATATACATATATATATATATATACGTATATATATATATATATTATGTGTGTGTATGTATCTATATATATATATGTGGAACATAGATGTCCTGTATTGTCCTTCAATGTTTCCATGCAGTAAGCTTTGCATGTTCAACGTTTGAGGTTTGCACCATGGGCACGAGCCTGAGAAGGGACTGACCGCTTCATGTGTGATTCAACCATAGAATCATATCGATCACATATAATTATACAAGCATATATACATATGCATTGGTACATATAGATTGCCTATACATATATGTAAATAACTATATGCCGACTATATATATATATACGTATATATACATAAACTACGAATGTGCATATGTGTATATATATATATATATATTATTATGTATGCCATATGCACATGTGTGCACATAGTAGTGTAGCCAGAAACATTTGCGGATATTCGGTTGTTTCCCCACAAACAGCATATACTGTACATAATCAGTAAATAAATATATCTTTATAGTAGTGATGGTAATGTGGTAGCGAATTGAGTCGGCACATGCGTGTTACTCGACCAAAGGAAGGGCGCAAATGCTCATAACCATCCTTGGATGCGCATCCCAGCTCGTAAGTGGTTCATAACCATAGTATAACATACTATAACCCAGTGCCAGTTCTATATGTATACTCTCCCCATTTATATAGTTGTAGATTATGTATATATATATATATGTATAGTATAGGTTGCAAATTATCCACAACTTACTCTCAAGTAAGCTAGCATAGATCTGGAAATCCATGGTTTTTCTACCCTCCGGTAATCAAGGGTGGCAATGGAAATCATCCATTTATAGGGGATAACATCCATCGAAATGTCGGAAATGTTTGATTACCGGAGGGTAGATAATGGTCACATAACAGACCATAATCATCATGTTGTTGAATTATCCCATGAATGGTACTACGTTTTGATAAGCATAATAATATATATATATAAATAAATAGATAGATATATCTTCCAATGAAATCCTCCATTTACAGTGAAGTGTCCTATGAAATCCTCCGTTTATAGCGGATTTTCCTATGAAGTCCTTCATATACCCTCTGGTAAACTGACATGACTATGGAAAATCACAATTTGTTTATGGGAAAATCAACTATAAATGGCCATTTTCCATAGTTATGTTAGTTTACCAGAGGGTAAACCTCCATTTTCCTATGGTTTTCCTATGGTTTTCCTATGGTTTTCCCATTAAAACCTCCATTTTCCTATGGTTTTCCTATGGTTTTACCAGAGGGTAGCGGATTTTTCATCTACAAATCGTCATTCTACGGGACTGGCCAAGCTTGGCCAAGGTCAGGGTCAGTCGGAGGACCTGCAGCTCCAACCGCCGGGCCGCCCATGGGCCCCATGGGTTAAAAAAATGTAATAAGCCATCCCCAATGTATTCTAATATAGAAATATGATGAAATATACACTCTAGAAATACATCATATATAATATGTGTGTTTTTTTTAAATATACACATATATAGAAATAGATATATTCTAACCCATATATATATAATTATAGTTATATATTCTATAGAAATAGATTTATGATATATTATTATATATATATAATGTGGGTAAAACAATGCCATACATCATCCCCCAAATCACCATAAATAGGTGGATGATATGTATATTCATATATATAATTATAGTCTAAAGAATTAGACGTTCGGATATGTATCATGATCATTATATATATATATGATTGCATATAAATATGTGTTTGTGATTGAATCTGTGCATACTCAAGTGCATGTTGCATATATACAGTACATGTATGTGCGTGTGTAGTTATGTAGCAATGACATGATATGCGTACTATATTTTCTCTGCACTCACACATGTCGTTATTAGCATGTATACAAGTTTTGCAAACGCATGAGCAACTGATTTATATGCATGGGTGTCTCATTAATTGTAACATTAATATGTATTTTGTTTTTAGATGTTATAGATTTGTTGGTATGTGCAAAGAATATGTAATGTGCCTTCCGGTACTCAAACCGTCGCAATATAAAATCTCCATTTACAGATGATTTTCCCATTGAAGCTTTCGTTTAGTTCGGGATTTCCTAGCCTTGCCACCGCCTCTCGCACAGAGGCTTCGAGAGAAATATTCTCTGGGAAGGACCAAATTTGGAGAGGTGCGGTCGAGGATTTCTAGATGAGGGTGACGTACCCTCTGCTAAACTAACATAGCTATTGAAAATGACCATTTATAGTGGAATTTCCCATTGAAAATGGTGATTTTCCATAGTTATGTAAACGTTTACCAGAGGGTAATCCCATCGCCCTGACAAAAAAAAACACCCCGATAGTAACCCGAAGGGCACCTTAATAGCGATGGAGAGAAAGAGAGAGAGGGAGTATAATCCCCAATATAAATAAATATGTAATCATGTGTATATAATATAGTATATATATATTATGTTTAATATATAATTAGACACATACAATTATATTATATAAATGTTATTTTAGTGTTTTTGGTGATTTTAACTTTATAGTTGGATATTACTCTTCTATCCGTTTGGGGGATTGCTAGAAATGGTCCCAGAGATGTGGTTCATCCCCAACTGACAGTTGCCAACCTAGTTACAGGTGCCAGCTGATGGGGATGCTGGACCACTGGTGGAGGATTTGTTCCCCTGTGATACCAAGGGCCATATGCATAATATGCATTGGGTCATTTTTCACTGGCTAAATCTCAGTCCTACACCTTTCCGCTCTGGCTGTGTCAATGCTGTCCAGGGAGCCTTTGGCACTGTTTGGAAGGGCACGGATCGGAAAACCGGAAATGTGGTGGCCATCAAGCAGATGAGCAAGGCACCTGCACCTTGGTGGATGTTCTGCAAAAGAAACCTTGAAGTCTTAAAGTCATGACTGGAAGCTTACTGGGGATGTTGGATGTGGGGACTACACCGCACCAAATGGCTGTACCTGAATTCAGGGGAAACCCGGGAAAACTACCAGATTTGATCGTTCTTGTAATCATTCATCATTATCCCAATTGTAGTATACAACACTTTCAGACAGATCCAAACAAGCTTCGTTGGCTGGAGAACCTCCGCTTTTTAGTTTTCCCTTGCGAGGTTCGTTCCAGAGGGTAGCATAGGTAGTACCAATAAACTGGTAGATTAGACTTGGCCATAGCTATGCCTTCGCCAATGATTCTTGATTCGCCGTTTCTTGAAAGTTGGATGAGTAAGACCGGAGCAATGTTGGATCTTTTGATAGAGGCAGTGCTGATGCTATGAATGTTGGTGATATGTCAGTGTTCTTCTGGGTTCCTTTGGGTTGTATACAGATTCGGCACTTTGCACCTGCATGGTAGGATGCCATGCTTGGAATGCAGTCCTGGTGTGAAGTGTCCCTGTGGTCCCTGGCTAGGCCAAGCTAAGAAAAGGAGGAGTGATGCAGCACTGTTTGGGGACGCATGTTGTTCCTCACATTTAGGATTTCTCACTACAAAGCCATGAAAGCCATGAGATACTGGTACTGCTGGTTACGGACTTCCATGAAAACTGGACTCCGTGGGTAAGATAGTGAGTTTCAGCAGTCTTGGCAAGAGATGTCCTGGCAGATGTTTATTGATTTCGGTTGTTTGTGTGGTGAGAAAACCCGAAGATCCTTCCAGATCATTTCTATTTTATCTATTTTTCCAGCCGCGCAGAGCCTGTCCAGGAGTGAAGCTGCAGGATAACATGGGACGGGAGGCCCGCCCTGCAAATCATGGGAAGATTTCTCCCCGGGTTCTTTCGAGTACATGAGTAAGCCTACTAATATTATATAATATTATGCTACAGGCTGTTTGTGGAGAGTTCATAACATGCTAAGTTTGCAGTGCGTGTTTTTCCCTACTGTTCTGGTTTGGACTGATGCGTGGCAACGTCCTTAGCACGATTTCAGTGGCCCACGCAGAGGGAAACAATCCAAGGAATCTCGGCATCGGTATCCACGCAAGTCCCCCAGCATCCCCCATTTTTGGATCTTAGAATTTCATCACCCATGGATGCCCTAGGTTTCCCGTGTTTGTTCCCATGTTTTTTTTGTTTTGTTTGATGACACCGGAGGGGAAGCCCACGCAGGGTTCGTGAAAAAATTCGTTGCAGCCCAGGTGGTAATGATGCGAGCGTGTCAGCATGAGAACATCGCCCAACTCTTTGGAGTGTTCCAGGTGCAGGGGAGCTGTGGGGGTTTTCTTGGGGCTTGGCGCCAGATTGCGGACATCCATAGGTTTTTTGGGTGCTTTTTAGGCGTACGAAAAATGATGGAGATCCATGGCTTTTCGGTTCTGACATATTTACAATTGATTTACATTTCTGGTGGATTTGCCATATGTAATTTGGAGGGTATACAGAGGTCGGTGATGTTGATTCAGGTGTCTAAATATGGAGGAGCGACAGGAGGGGATTTCACCAACAGTCCGGAGCATTGGGCCCAGCAAATGCAAAGATATCATCTCTGCATGCAGAGTGGTTCCGCAAAGCTGGCACTAATTTTGAGATTTTGACTTCGTCATTTGGGTTTCTAGGTTTGCAATGATAGGTTTGCACCCTCTATTGGGATTGATCCCCACTTGACTGCTATGCAGTGGCTTCTCTCATTTGTGGCCATTTGTGTTGCGGGATCCCCATCGCGACTGAGGAGGAGAAGCATGTGTACTTGGTCATGGAATGTTGCGAAGGAGGTGACATCGGTGAGCGTGCCGGGTGCTCTGAGATGACAGGAGGGGCATGTAGTCTGCGCATGCCGGTGACTGTCCCCCTAGCTTCGATACATCATTTTTATGCATTGGCGGGCATAAAGTAGCTAGGGAGGGTTTTACTTTTATAACCATTAGATACCATTAGATAAGTGGCTGATGGAATGTTATAACTTATAAACTGACTGATCATTGCTCAAGAACCTAGCCGTCCAAGACGTTCCAGAGGTCTGACAGCCATGTGGGTTTGATTAAAAAAATGCCTTAGGATTAGGGTCCCTCTAAATCCACTGGAACATCATCCCTATGAAAAACGGTGTTATTTGGGGTACCTTCATTTTCAGACACATCAACATAACATCATATTAAGTTGGTTATATCATGTTATATCGCCAGTGTATCAGCAGATTCCTCAATTAGATCCTTGTTTTTCGGGGTTTATCATACACCAATATCAGACGCACTCAGACACACGGCTATCAATGGCCCATTCAGTTACTTCAAATTGAGGTACTGCCCCAAATATCAAGCCATAGACCTTATATATGCTAGGTACATCCAATAGTTAAATCGGTCCCTGAATTGGCCAGCGATGCAATGTTTAACGCTTCAGGTCATTAGTCAAAAGGCTCAAGTCTCAGAAGAGCAGTCCGCTGAATGGCGCGGATGCTCGTGGATGTTGAGGAGAGATCAACAAGAAACGTACCCTCTGGTTATTTAACAGTTTGCTATTGAAAATGGCCATTTATAGTGGATTTTCCCATTGAAAATGGTGATTTTCCATAGTTATGTTAGTTTACCAGAGGGTAATGTGCTGAACCCACAATGTGGGTCTCCCCTTGTTATAATTTGATGTTTTTAACCCCTATGATTTACGTTATAAGTACTGTATCGTGCACCATAGTTGTTGGAGTTATTTGCACCAACTTAGCTATTACGGGGGGGGGTGCACGGTGCAATAATAATGGGATATAGTAGGATAGTTGTGGAATATTAATAGGGGAGTTGATGGGATTATCATGGATAATTATTTTAATTATGGGATAACTATAATAATCAACAAGTTGGTTTACCAACTATAATAATATTAATTATGGGATCACCAACTATAATAACTATGTTAATCATACCGTTATAATGATCAAGCATCTGCAATTGGGATTGATTATTGACAATTCTTGTGCATACTCCGAAGGGTTGGTCAATGGGATGGTTTACTAATGTTTACTATGAAATACACATGTGTTCACCAGATTATCGTTAAAAAAGAAGGGGGCCCTCGGAGATTAACAAAAACAAACTAGGACACCTCGTGAATCCTATCACTGGGCATGAGGGGAGTTGGAAATGCGCCCCAATGATGGGCATGAAGTGTATTTGCGACGTGACTCATGATGTTTTTTTTTGTGCCGGGGGTCATGTTGGATAGAAATCCCTGTGCCCGTCGCTAGAGGGATTTGACCAAGCGGTTTTTTTGTTGCACCCACTCAAGTATTTGATCGAGATTTGACCCACTGATACCCACTGCTGGTCATATCATTTTCTAGTTTGTGGGCATGCCTCAAAAAAGGGCATTTGCAGAGACACACACACACACAAAAAAAAAACTGGTGAAACAAAAAACATCAAAAAACAGGCCATCGCAAAAAACAGGCCATACCCAGCTGCTGGTGGAGCCTAGGTCCCGGCAGATGTGTGCTGCGGTGGCCAGCCTCCATGGCATGCGAATTTGTCGCTCGGATGGGGTTGTGACCCATTCCCGAAACACAAACGGCGCAGCTATTTTTGGAGGCTTAGGCAATGGGTTGGTTTAAGGGAAAATCTGAACCAGAAAGCATGGTTTCTACCACTACTTGGAGGTTTCCTGTTGGTTTTCCCTTAAATCAATCTATTGACTGACAACATTGAGATTCTCAGATGAGTTGCTGTTGGTACTGGCCATTGGGCGACTTCCAATGGTTGAAACCCAGTGGTCGGGCTTGCAAGTTGGGAGTGATAGTACGTTGAATCCACTGTTCTGAATAGATTTGTTTTTGGATATATATATATATATATATGTATATGTTACATTATTATAAATTATACTATAGTAATTTATTTTAGAGTATATAATTTGGAGATTAAGAAAGTCATGCCGGTTGAATAATCTGAAAGACCCCCCTTACAATCATGTGCTTCCTAGGCTCATTATACTTGACTCGACATATCAGAATGATTTTCAGAAATATCCATCCCTCAACATGTTGCAAAGGCAGAACAGGGAACTCTTTCAGATGGTTCAGCTCCATGAAATCTCTGGCATCGGCCGAACCAAGCAGGTCATCGGGACTTGAAACCGCAGAACTATATGCTGGCGCGCGGATCCACGTCAGGAGCTGAGTCTCACAGCAGGGCCCCAGGGGGTTGGGTTCCCGTGGTATCCCCTGGTCCCGTGATCGGATCGAGGTTAAAACTTTCAGACTTTGGTCTAGCGGTTTTCGTGCCCGGAGCCCCAACTGCCACTGAGGGAGGTCTTTCTTCAACATGACTTTGGGACAAAGCCAGTGTTCCTGGGGGGTTCGAACCTCAAACATGGCATAGGTTGCTGTGCCATGAGAGCGTGTGTGTTTTGTTCAATCATTTTTTCTACAGACATCCCCTCCCTTCCCCTACAACCCCCTCGTCCTGTACCCTTTATGCTATGGCACACATCGCTCGGGCCTAGGCCCAAAGGGCAAAGCCTCAGTTGCGCAAACCCAGCGGTGGTGGGAGGGCAGTTAGACCAGAAATAACTTGGGAAATTTGATGGGGATTTGATTGGTGTACAAGATATAGCCATATATGATTTGGTTGGTGGTTTGGGACGTTTTTTCCATATATTGGGAATAATCATCCCAACTGACTTTCATATTTTTCAGATGGGTAGGTATACCACCAACCAGTGATGTTTGAGAGTGTGTGAAAAGGGGTGAACGGGTGCAATTTTTACCAGGAATTTTCATGGAGGAAATGATGACGAACTAGTGGGTGGAATGGGATACCCTATTTTCAGATAGACCCATTGGCAAAAACGTTGCGAACTACGTCGAAATCCAGTTGGTTTGGGTTTGAGAACTTGATTGAAATATCTTTGGACCCATTAACAGGAGGAAAAATCTAGGTTTCCTGCATTAGGTATCAGATGAAATCAATCCCTGCATTGAATCTACTATTCATTGGTCAAACTCCGCATTGATGGTGAACTCGCATTTTTCGCTGGCTATGATGATCCGACCGAATCATCTACCCTCTGGTAAACTAACATAGCTATGGAAAATCACCATTTTTAATGGGAAAATCCACTGTAAATGGCCATTTTCCATAGCTATGTTAAATTACCAGAGGGTAAAAGGCAATGGACAATCCAGCAGCTTTAGATCCTTACCTGGAAAAAACATGAAAAAAACATCAGGGTAATTATCACGACCTCACTGTTCTCCCTCACTGGAATGATGGTGACTAGGGGGAATGAAGCCACAATAGTCTTATTTCATGTTATTTCAGGTTAGTGATTTATATTACTTATGTACACACACACACACATATATATATATAATTATATATCTATATCAATTATGATTATATTTGCCCAGAACCATGATAACCATGGATTTTTCATAGCCTTTGGTAAGTTTGGAGGGAACATCCCAATCCCACTGTGGTCCAAGGCGACAAATGTGGCACGCCTGGTTATATGTGCGGCACTTAGATGACGTGATCTGGCTTTAGCAACCGAGTTGCTTAAGGATGTTAAGGGGTCACAATCAGAGTGGAATATGGTTGAGTACCCTCTGGTAAAATGGAGGTTTTACTGGGAAAACCATAGGACAACCATAGGAAAATGGAGGATTAGCCTCTGGTAAACTAACAGTTTGCGAACAGGAAAATGGCTAGAAATAGTTGATTTACCCAGCTAGAAAATGGTGGTTGTCCATAGCTATGTTAGTTTACCGGAGGGTATTTGTTGGAACTGTAAAACTGTTTCAGATTTTGTGATCAGTTTGCATGAGATTGACTGTAATACTTATATTGATTTACTGCACATAGTTATATAGAAAATATGTACATGTATAGTTGGCATAATTATATATAATATATATATATAACGACCTCAATGCGACACCGTTGGAGATGCTGGTTAGGATTGGAGTAACTCTCCCGACTAATTAGCTCTCTTGCCCAGCTCTCACCAATTTCACGCCACCAGCAATGAGGCACAACCAAGCATGATAGGAGTGTGCCATCCCAACTGAGGAAGTGGCTAATAACCCATTTATATATATATATTATATATATATATATGTACATTCTACATGCATATACATACATAATATACGCACATAGTGTCTATATATAATATATATATATATACACATTATAGCTAGGGATATCCCATTGATAACCATGGGTATAGCTCCATGGTGGACTCCCATTGACGCCTGCCGAGGTCGCCTGAAGTGCATTTATTGCCCGGTCGCCTTAGCTTCGCGCGCGCCTAGGGATTTCCCGAAGGACACCTCCATTGTTCGTGCGGGGATTTGGTGTCCAGCCCAAACGAGCCATATATCTCTTAACCATATATATGCATATGTTACCCTCTGGTAAACTAACATAACTATGGAAAATCACCATTTTTAATGGGAAAACTCACTATAAATGGCAATTTTCAATAGCTATGTTAAATTACCAGAGGGTATATATTATATGCATATGTTAATGTTAATCATTATTGATCCATAAGTCAATGATATTCTAGAACATATATGGTTTATATATGGCGAAAAACGAATTGAAGATAGTTTAAGGGAAGAGTCAACTGTATATGATGTGAAAATCGAGTATAAATCGGGAATTCTCCAGTGTATTCCGTTGCCATGTTTGAGTACCGGAGGGTATCACTTGTTGAAACAGTTTCTGTAGGACAGAATGATTCGAAGTGTTGATGTGATTCGATGATTTGCTGTGTCCATATCTGAACTGCTTGCTGGTTTCAAAGATGTTTTATTTTCCATTTCATATATGGGATGTCATCCTTCCCATTGACTTTCATGTTTTTCAGAGGGGTTACCCTCTGGTTATTTAACATAGCCATGGTATAGATGGCCCATTTATAGATGGTTTACCTATTAAAAATGGTGATTTTCCATGGCTATGTTAGTCATAACCAGATGGTAAAACCACCAACCAGTGAAGAATGAACGCAATGAGACAATGATCGCAGTATCCGTGGTATGTTTGGGGCGATGACATTTTGCCAAGGCATGGGTCTCCAGCGAGTCAATTCGTCAATTCTGCTGGGTTGCTGCAAGTAACTCTGTTTTTGGGCATATTAGATGTGTGTTACAAAAAATGTGGATATCTCTCGTTTTTATATACATATTTGCAGATCTACTTAGATTTCTGGAAGTAAAAGCTACAGCAACCACCCAAAAAAGATGGAATTATATCATAGAACATGCATCAACCTTTGAAATTGTATATATATATATATATTATAATGACGCCTTTTCTGAATCAGTCTCTTCAGGGTTGCTATAAGCTTTGTTTCCAGCCATGTTTTGCAGTTGGGGCTTTTCCGCCGAGGCCTCGCAAGAGCCGAGGCCTATGATTCACAGGGGTTTTATCAACCACATACTCAGTGGAATGATCTTCAAGGCATGCTTCAATGGGAATTTCAGTATCCTAAAATGGAGGTACTGTACCATATTTTGGGCCATATTTTCTGGGGATATTCACTTATATACATCGGCCTGAAAAATAGGCCTTATATATGGTAGGTACCTCCATTTTAGGATCCTGGAATTGCCATTGAATGCTTTATGAAATTCCCCCTAGTAGCCTTGGCCTCTACACCAGGCTTTCTGAAGTGTGAATTTAACACTTTAGAGGGAAGGGATTGCTTGGGTTTGGGGTCATTTTTAATGGGTATAACCATGGTGAAATAACCTCCATAAGTTTGGACATGCACCTATAATTATTGGCAGTCATGGCCGTTTACCCATGCAAATCAAGTAGAACTGCACCCCCAAGTAGTCGTGACTGAAAAAAAGAGCTAGTTGCCCTATCAATTGGGTGAACCTCCATAGGTAGTTCAATCCCTATAATGATCAGAATCATAATAGTTTAACATAAGATTAGGTTATATAGTTATATAGTAGTTATAGTCACTGATGGTTCTCTGGCTTTGTTTTTGAGCACCATACTGGTTACAGCTAAACATCCTACAGATGAAGTTCGTAAATTGCTTCTCTAAGGCTCGTCATGTGAACAAAGAACCATTAGAGGTGGAGAGTATTGATGAGTATTGTCAGTATTGTAGCTATTAGCTGTTCTTTTTTCGTGGTAGCCATCCGCAATTGGCCCTTAAATTTACCATTTTAGGATATCATAAATCATACCAAATCAGAATCATACTAAAAAATGGGTTGATGATTTGGATTTCCAGATTCAGTGCCATGTTTTTCGCTTTAGATTGGGAGGATCGAATGGTAGCCCCTCCAGCAACAGCGACTTAAAGCTCTTCATGCAGCAGAGATGTTTGATGGGTTGCAAGTGGTGCCAGTAGAGACCTTTGGGGGCGCAGATTTTGTCCCAGACATTCGGACCTTGCCGCAGGTTACAGCTTCCCAGCTGATGCATGGGCGCTAGGCTGGCATTGGGTTGCCTTAAAGGAACACCCATGCAGGAAACAGCAGGTGTTTTTACCCTGGGAACTTTTCTGGTAAATACTCCCCGGGGAGACCTTGAAGATACCTTGCAGACACACTGTGTCGAAGAGGTCTTGTTTCAATCCGAAACGTGACAAAGTGGAGCTCGACCTGTGGCAGGCCTTTCTATCTACACGCTGATCTTCCGGCACAATCCTTTCTTGGACACCCGAGGTTTCGTGGACGAGACCTCATTGCCCTTTGCTCGGAATGTGGCAGCCGATCGACGTGTTTCTATTCCATACTGGTAGCTTCCCGGAATGATTGACGGCAATCGATTAATCTTGTGAGATGTTGGGATGGCTTGAAAAAACCACCAGCCAGTTATCGATTGAATAATCACTTGTATACATCATCACTTGTATAGTTGAAACTAGTGAAATTTAGTGAACAAATAATGTTTTTGACTATAAATCTTGTATCAACTATTATAAATAATAGATCCTAGGTTTGACACCATTATTCCATTTATCTTCATAAATATCAACCGTTCAACCAGTTCTTCAGGCTACCTGTGAAGTGATCGGCGGCATGGCAGAGGGAAGCTATCATAGGAGCATACAAGGCTTGCCTAGGCACGCTTAAGGACATTCAGGGCAGATCAAGAGTAGCAACGACACAAACACGTTAATATATCATATAGAATGATAATATATACATATATGTTACAATATTTATCACTATTTATATGCATGTGACGTTATATGACAGATACGTATTATATTATATATATATTATTTATTTATTTATTTATATATTTATTTATTTATGTGTTTATTTGTTTATTTATTTATTTCTGTATTTATTTATCTATAGTCTATAGTCATTTATCAGCACCAGTATTATGATTTTTGCCATGATCCTGCCGCCTTTGCCTGAGGTTGAACGGGCGTTTGACCTTTGGCGAGGATGGATACACACCATGTATCCGAGAGGGTGGAGATTGACCTAGGGTCAGCCCAAAAAGATCCAAAAAGCGCATTTATGTATATTTATGATCATCTAATATCATCTATGTTCCGCAACGTAGATTTGGTCCGGTATTATTGTTATTTATTTTTGATTCTTGCTGGACTGCGACTGTTCGAAGTTGTGTTTTAAGAACAGACCGGAGAGAGACCCAACAAAGGACGGTACTTGGGTGCAGGACGACAGTTCGCTCGGCCTGCTCTTGCAGACCCTCAACATGAGTGCGGGGTTCCAGCTCTTGATTTGCCCCAAGCGCTACATCAAAATTTTCCTCCAAAAAATACGCAAATTGCAGGAGTCCTATCAGATCTATGCCCCCCATGAAATTCTCCCCTCCAGGAACCACATTTTTAGTATTGGATTTCTTCATTTTGGGGTCCCACATGCGGAGTACCTGGCAGGTACGACTCAGGAAAACAGTGCCATGAGTCGTCGCCCGGAAGTGCGCGAACTCTGCAAGCAACTGGTGGGGCAGCCCGGACGGAGAGATACCAGAACTGACAATGCTGGTTGCACTGGGTAGCTTTCTTGGTTGATTTATTGAGAATAATTACGTCATATTACGTCCTACTTCATTCAACGCCAATTTAAGCCGACAAAGATTGCAAACATGCGGTTTATGCATGTTCATTTCAGCACATCAAGGCTTCTAGCACAGTAAAAAGCATGTGGCTTTGAATTTATTTTCCATCTTTTGACGGCAAGTGTCCCTAAAAAAACAGCTGCAGATTTGCGTCGACGAGTCGAAGAGGATGTCCACGGCGTTTCTCGGAAAACCAAACTGGGGGAGGGATTTCATGTGACCAAGTGGATGTAGTGGAATCATTCTGGGTAAATTATAACGACCTCACTGCGACCTCACTGGGAATCATGGTTAGTAAGGGAAATTATCTCCAAATGGCCTTAATTCAGGTTAGTGAAATATTATAATTTTCCCAGATTGGATGCAGCATGGACTGACTTTACTTTGAAAATAGAGATATGATGGGGATATGATAGGGATACACTCTCCGGAGCCAACATGCGGCGCTGGGAATCCCATGAACCAAATGGAGCTTTCTAGCTGGGAAAATCATCGAAGTAAAGTAGGGGGGATTTTCCGATTTTCCGGCCGGCAAGCCATGTTTGATAACACTAGAATGTATGAGGATGGGTCAAGATTTGATGATATTTGATGGATGTTTTACATGATCTTGATATATCTTGATGATTGGAACGGCAGATTGGTGAGTCATTTTCAGCCTGGCAACATGGCAAAGCGTTCCGATTAGGTTTCCAAATCTGAGCCAGAACCATGAAGAAAGAGTGTTAAGAGATCCAGAACCATGAAGAAGAGTGTTAAGAGATCCAGTACCTTTGCAAATCCATGCAACATCCTTTGTCTTTTTTTGAATTTCAGCAACACTTTCTGGAACGATCTAATATCACAACCAACAATGCAAGGATTCCAGCCTTCGATTTCTCCCCCAGGATGCATGGCAGATGTTGAGGGATGATTTCTGTCAAAGATGTAAAAAAAACTGGCTCAGTTTAGCCTTGGCAAGCCTTGAACCATATTGAACCATATCCCATAGGATCCATGTATGGTATTTATGCCAACATTGGGGGTATATTGATGGTAAATGTTACCATATATATAGCATACATGGATCCTATGGGTATTGAACCATATTGAAGCCATTGGACCGTTAGTAGCGCAACATAGCGCTGTTCCGCTGCAGGCAAGCCTTGCAAAATCCATGGTGTTGATCTCAGCTGGGACCCGGCAGAAGATGTTGTTTTTTTTTTTTATGGATTTCTCATTGCCATATTTGCCATATCCCATATATGATCCATGTATGCTATATATGGTAACATTTACCATCAATATACCCCCTTTATGTTAGCATTCTATACATGGAGCATCTGGGTATTTCTTAGGATTTCTATTGACCAAAGATGAGGCAAAGTCAAGTGTGGATGGAATGGGATGGACAGCCACTTTCAACGGGACCCTTGAGGAGACAAACATCCTGGCAGTTGACTGTCAATGGCTATCAATGGTCAGAGCGTATTGCTTTGGTGAATCCCCAAAAAAAATGGAGATTTGATTGGGAAAATATGGGAAAATCATCTATAAATCGGGTTGTATAAACCGGATAGGTGGTTTACCTTAAACATTTCTCCTACCCAGCAGTGTGAGCTTCGCCTTCGGATGCCGGAACTTGTGTCCCCGAGGCTTCAGCATTTTGGTGCTCGCCTACGGCAGCGGAAGGTGCCTTTGAACATGGGACACCCAAAATTTATTGTACATAAGTCATAAGTAAGGCAATTATGGATTAGTAGTGGATTTTTTTACCAAATCATTACCAATGGCAAATTTTGAGTATCGGAAACTGGTCATGATTGGCTGGTGAATTTTCATTTCATTAGCTGCTAATGGACCTGAATTCGCCAGTTAGGTGAGTCCATTTTCCCTTCATCACCAATGGCAATCCGCTATGCCCATCCATGGCCCAGGCTTCCAAGGATCGACAGGTCCGTGGTCCCATGGGCATGCTCCCAGGGATGCCCCTGGATCAATGGTCTCGGGATATATCTATCGTATGTAAAAAAGGGATGGTGAGGGGATGGTCATGGTGATTTTTTGCAGATCATTTTTGTCTCATGGGATAAGAACATGAACTATAATCTGGTTGGTGGTTTCAAACATGTTTTTTTTCAATAATATATGGGATAATCCTTCCCATTGACTTTCATATTTTTCAAGATGGCTAAAACCACCAAACAGTATATGTTTGGGTCATACTTAACAAATCTTAAAATATGACTGGAAACTTGGAGGCTTGGAGGCTTGAACATGGGCAATGATCAATCATATTCTTGCCCTTACCGCATGATGTTTCCAAGTATATGGTTTGGATAGGAGAATCAGGCAATCGAATCCAGTATGCCAGAGCCTGACACATTCCGGTTTTCAGCATCCACCATGGCAGATGCAGATGGACCTGATTTTGAGTCATTGAGGCAATGCCAGGGATCCGCCCTAACTCAATCGTATCTCAATCCGGGCTTGATATATGTTCTGTACGACTTTGCGATGAACCATCGACTAGCAACCACCCATAGGATCCATGTATGCTATATATGGTAACATTTACCATCAATATACCCCCAATGTTAGCATATATACCATACATGGATCCTATGGGCCATGTCTTGTCCGTGCTTGGCTCATGATCCATATCATTTTCAATTGTGTGCGCACAGCACTCGCAGCGATCGTGCACTTAGATCAAGCACGCAAGCACCGTGGGGGAGCGCAGCCGCTTGTGGGAAAGTTGCAATGGTCACTAGCCTGGGGATTGACCTGGATGGTAGTAGTCAAGTTCATTGCCAAATGCTTGCTAAAGGTTGCTTTTTGTTTTACCTTCTTTGGCTGTGATGATTATCTCCAGTCATGTCACGTCATTCTTTCAATTGAACGGTGAGGGAAGCGGCGGCAATGTCCAGGAGGACATCCGGTCATTCAAACTTTTTTCAAATGGCAGCATTGCTGTGTGAAGTCCACATAAACCTCAATACTGTCACATCGAGATATAGATAGATATATATATATATATAGATAGATAGATAGATAGATATAGATATAGATAGATAGATAGATAGATATAGATAGATATATATAGATAGATATATATATATATAGATAGATAGATAGATATATATATATATAGATATATATATATAGATACATAGATATATATATATATGTATATATATAGAGATATTTATTTATATATATATAATGAACATAGCAAAAACGCAGGTGATTATGGTAGTGATTGGATTGGTCTAAGGGAAATTTTACAGGAAACCATAGATTTTCCCATTAAATTTGGGGTTTTCCTGTAAATTTTCCCTTAAACCAATCCAATGAGGTAGTCATAAGAATGTCATCAGTATGGTGCCTCCATGTGAATTTGTGCCCCTGGTCAGCGTCCTTTGCAACTCCCTCGTTGTGACATTGTGCAGTGGTAGCACGCTTGCAGATACCCACGTCTCAAACTTGTGGGCCCTCAATTGGGCAGCGCGGTTTCCCCTCCTTAAACATGATAATTAATGATAATTTTTATAATTACAATCAATAAGGATTGTTTTACATTGTGCATATATATATATATATGTTTACATATACTTGTAGCATATCTACAGTTCTTGGGTGTCATAAACCAACAAACACAACTGGGACAGGGAAAAAGGCCACCGCAGGGCAGATGGCTCAAAGGGATTGCCGATCAGC